AGAATGTACAAAGTCCACTATCTGATGTTGGGAATTATGACAACTACTATGGCAGACGACTTCGGACTAGGTGAGTTCTACTAAGTCGCTCTGACAACAAGACCATGTTGCGAAAACGAGGTCAACCTACTTCTATAAATCGAAAGAAGACTGCGAACATGCCAGTGGCCACACCATCTTGGTCTTTATATCTTCAATTATGTAGTCTATCTGATAGCAAATATAAATTTGCTTCATCGACAATCCCCCCAACGAATGCGATATGAAGAGATGTCTGGCCTTTCCTCAAATGCATGTCTTCTCTGTGACCTAAGAGCACTTGTAGCGATGTTGTGTAGTGGATGACGTGTCGAGATTGCACGCTGCATTGTCATGATTCGAGTCCCTTTGGGGGTGTTTCCTAGACCTATGCAAGGTCGAAATTGCAGTCCCCTTCAGCCTGGATGAGAACACTTTTTAGGAAAGCAAGACAATGGAACCGTTAGCTCTACTCATACGATTGTGGGAAAATTCAGCTACCAGTTCTTCATCACCTTAAAACGAAATAGGATGAATACATCTCATAGTCGGCTAGTCCTTTTAATCATTGAGCTTACTTCCATTTCGAGGGAAAGTGTTGGGTGAAGAGCTTCGAATGTCGGCTGGTCAAGAGGAATCCGCCGTCGTCTTTTGGTAGCACGGACCATCTTTCTTCTCTTCATCCAACACTTTCACTCGAAATGGAAGTAAGCTTAACAATTATGAAACAAGAGATTCCTCGAAACCTAACTTTTCTTTGCATATAGACATTTTAATCCATTATAAGCTCGAGCCTGTCATAAGAATGCACCCCTCCTCTGATGCCATCTGCAAACTGGCTTGATATAGAAAAGCCTAGTTCATTTTTCTCGAAGACTGCACAAACCTGAATGCTTCAGTAAAACCAGACGATGCCAGACCAATGCATTTCATCTTCGTCTTCTGATGAGAGCATCTAATGCGTCTGTCTATCACACACTTTCACTCGAGATGGCAGTCAAGTCAACACTGATCTATCAGAAGATTCCTCTCACATCCATTTTTCTACATCTTCTCACTGTTCCACGATCTGAATGCATGGAGGAAGGCTCCAACTTTTACTCGAGACGAAAGTAGGCTTTATCATGCAACCTTATGAATGCTTGAGATTTATCTGATACCTTTACACTGTGGACCTTTTAGATTATGTCCCCAATTTTTATCTTTTAATGTACTACCAAACTGCTTGCTCGAGTCTCAGCCATTTTCCTTTTTTCAGGGTCCACCTGGAGTCCGTGGTTCCCGGGGTCTCCAAGGCGTTCGCGGCAAACGCGGCATAACCGGCCAACCGGGCCAATCTGGACCAAGAGGAAAGGACGGAAACCCCGGCCCTGAGGGTCCGCAGGGCGAGCGGGGACCCGATGGGTTGACGTTGATTCGGCGTTCCGCAGGCGCGTTGCCAGGCCCACCCGGGGCTATTGGCCCCCAGGGACCTGCAGGACCCGAGGGAAGAAGAGGACAGCCAGGTAACTGGGCTTAAATCCCCTTAACGCCTAGCAACCGCATTCATTATGCCTACAGAGGGTCCAATGTTGGCCTTGCGCTCAAATATTTGTTAGGCCCAGGGCCGTAACAACAAGTCCAATTAGCAAATAATAGAGTGGGAAAATGGCTTCAAAATCGAGCAGGGAGCCTCAGAAACCCGG